CAGATGGGGCACATCGTCAACTTTGACGCCGTTGAGATTGTGAGTTGAGCCGATGACCCCACTTCAGGTTAGGTATGAGGAATCTGAATGGCCACGAATGACTCAGCCAACCACTTCCCCCAACGGGTTTTAAAAACTAATAGGACAGGAGACACTGAAAGCATGATATAATCGGGGCTGCTAATTATCGTTACGGTTAACGAGGGCGGGACGGGGCGGTGATTCAAGGCCACAACGAAAAGAGCACTTGATTCAAACAGACATCAGGCAAAAGGCGCCGTGGGATCTGTGCCTAGAAATCTCAAATCTCTGAAGTTGGCTAACTGAAACAACTACTCAAAACATTTATCGATCAATGCCTCTGGAGCGAGTTACCGAGTCAACACTGTTGGCTTTATTTATGTATGAGCGCCTGAGAAAGGTTGTTTTAGAAAATGCGTTGATGTTGTACTATCATTTGGAGGAGATCGAATGGGCCTAGTCATGGTATAGATTGGCTATTTGCTGGTCACGTCTTGACTAAAACTGCAAAGTGGCAACGATGCTCTGGACGCAAGCTCACCTCTGATTGTGGGTCCTCGAAGGCAATGAAGAGTTGTTCAGGGGCCTTCTGACTTTCGGGAATGGGCGTGGCCTCCTTCGAGTCAGAGGAATTCGAGGCGGCCTCCCGAGCCTGTGTGAAGTGTTCAGCCGCGAGGAGACTGGTCGGAGCAGTCCGGACCCCGTTTTGCATAGCGGAAGTGGACCGGTGGGAGGGGGGCTGTGGATAGGTGGAGATTACGAGATGTATGAGTTAAATCAACAAAGACGACATTAGGAAAGAAAATGAACGATCATGTAAGGCCACATCTGTCAATTAAGTGATCCGATTAGCGATTAGACACGGAAATAGATACATCCCCGCGTGACAGGTGGCGAAGCGTCAAATTCCGGAGACCTAACACTAACAGCATTAGCAGTTCACGCAAGACCACCTGCAATATTGGGGTGTTGATTCCCGGGCCCTGTTCAGTTAACGTTTGAAACAGGCTGAACCGCAAACTTGCTTTATGGTAGGTGCAGGGACGCCGCGCGTCCCATGATGAGTCAACACACTCAACGGCGTCGCGAGAGCCGTTTGCCGTGAGCCGGTCTTGTCTGCTCAATCCTGATTGGCCCATTGTCGGACGATGTCTCTCG